ATTTATTGCATATTGAGCGCTGGCCCCGTTCATACTTACAGTGACTGAATATGCAACCTGAGACGGATAACTTCGAGTGAAAAAACACTTGCAAACTAGATTTGTATCTAAAAGCACTTTCAAATGAATAGACATATGATTTGTTCACCCGACAAGAGGGCTACTTAGTTACCCATTTTATTAAGGGCTGCTTGAGAACTCAGGTAATATTTTTGTGACAAGCTAAGAATGGGTGGAATCAATTATTACATTGCCCAAACGAAATGCGTTATGCATGCCGCCCTTGTAACGCATTGAAAGTCCCCAAATTATTCCGAGAGTGTGGTCCAAGTACGACTTAAAAGGAATAAATGCACATTTTCAAAACAAAAACAACCTCTAAAATCAATGTCAAAATGTCAACTACAAAATAAAGCTAAGAAACAACAAAAATAAGTTCAATCTAAAACTATAGTAACTGAATATTATTGCACATTTCAAAAGAAGTTATTTGAAAGATGACAAATTCTGAAGTTCTGGTATAAGGTTAGTATTAGCCAGACTTCAATCAACCTAAGTTTGAATATTGTGATTAGGAATAACGATTGCACTGCATTAGTAGATGACAACTGTATTTATCCGGTTTGGGTCCTTTGTGTGGCAATATTGTCTTTAGCTTGTCAAAACATTGTTAAACCAATAACGAATAGGAATCCGTTACACTGTTAAATCTTCGGAATATCGTGGGTTGATAACTGTTCAAAACAGGAAGATGCAAATAATATATCGACAGTAAAGTTTAAATAAACCGCCCTCCTACATAACAAAGCATTTAACATCATTAACAATCAGAATCTGCTAGATATATAAAGTGAACTACATGTAGTAACTGTGAATGCTACTTTTATATTGTGTTATATTTGAGTCCTGAGTATGATATCATCTTTAGTTTTCTTTTATGTTTTGATATTTGTAAAGGTACTTTGCTACTGCCAAGCAGTACTGAATTGGAATCTAGCACCATTTAATCTAAAAACATCATTTATTCAGATAGTGTTAATATGGGCAAATATAATTAGTTTTACAACAGTTTGAAGTTAGTTCTTAACTATTAACGTCAGTGCAACACCGAACTTGTGAGACCATCAAATGTTATCATCCTTAGAAGCAGTCAGTGCACCAGTGACCCATGAATATTGCCATGATGGTATGTTTTAAGAACTGTTGACTACATGTAGTCTTATTATAATCACTGATATCACGTGATCTCGCACATGTTTGCTCTCTTCTATGTACACTTTCAGCTATTACAGATCTGTAAAACAAATAACATTATTACAAAATAAACATGTATATACAATTGTCAATGCAAATTGAAATGCAGCCGAGCAAAAGTTCTTAGTTCACTACAGACGATGTTAGGGATCACCAACGCTAAAAGAGACACACCTGTTATATCAATTAAAAGGGAGCTATCAAAACAGCATGATCAGACAAATTGCAGACGACACTAAATATCCATATCCATGGTGGAATATTTTTGTCGGAACCTCTCCTGGTTCTCTTGTATGATTTGAGAATTTTTACAAACGATATTCAGTCTGTTATTCAGTGAATAATTTCCCAAGACAGCTGACAATAGTAATGGGTTAATTTTGATACATTGACATCGCCTTTCTTTATATAATGGTTTTATTGTGCCAATTACACAACTTTGTGGTACAAGGACCTTTTCAAATATCAAATTGAAAATCTGTTCATATGTGTGCATGATTTTATATATTCGTTGAGAAGTTTGTCTTGTACACAAACTTTGCCATTTTTTAAATGTTTAAAAAAGCTTATAATTTGTTCTTTGGTTATTGCGGGGTTGATTTGATCGTTAACTGTTCAGTGTGTATACGGTTGACTATTGATAGGTTGTCATTGTTGTCATTTAGCGGTAAAGCATTAAGCATTTTCCTATAATTTTTCGATTTCAATTTTATTCTATTTCTTATTTTTTTGTGCCTATTTAAAATCTTCCAAAACTCTTGAGGGTTAGAAATTTTGTTATTTTGTAATTCGTCAGATAAGTGTTTCTTGAATAAATTTAACTTATTATCTAAAGTGATTTGTATAATATTTCAGCATTCTTCATTTCTTTGTGTCGATCCTTTGAATTCTTTTGACTTAAATGTTTTCTTTAATTTGTTTACATTTTTGTCTTGCCGCCCTAAACTCGCCATCAAACCATGACATGGTTTATTCATTTTAACCGTTCAATGTCTATGTGCTTTGAATATATTTGTTCCAAAAATTACTCGAGGGGAGTTGCCAAAATCCAACTTAAATTGTGTATTAGAGTATAAGTAGTATTTCGATCTACCATACCTGGTTCTAAAGTATTAATTTATAACTCAATTCATTGATCTCTTCCTAATTAATATTTTTTTTGAAATTTTACTGCTTTCTGAGCTTCTCATTTATTGAATTTCACTACATTTACATTGTCCTCGAGCTGTCCCTTTTTACCCATTCCATCTGCTGTCATGCTAGAACTGTTGTTTAGTACGGTAAAATAAAGGTAAATGGACATAAGAAAATAGTTTACTGGACTTTAAAATTTCAAAACCTGCTACAAATTTCAAATGATCTGGGGTACATGCGCAGTAATCCACTAAACTTGCATCACATCTATCCTTTCCCATTTGTCCATTTAATATAAAAGTATCAATGCCCTTACAGAAATTTAACAATCAATTGCCCCACCTGTTTTCGCTTTTATCCATTTTTTTTTTCATTTAACAGGCAGCCCTAGTTCAATAAGCTGATTTGTAGAATTATTAAAACATTCCATAAAATTATTTTCACCCTTTTCAGTTTCGTCGAAAGACACAAAGTCATCCTCGCATCAAGTTCTGGCAATAAAATCACCTCAAAGACACATACTTTTTTGAAGTATTCGAATATTTCAAAATGTTTGTTCTATTTCATGAAAAACCTCGTTAAATGAGTATTTGGTATACTTCGTGGCACATAAACGACACCAACAATTAAATTAATTGACTTTATTTTTGACTTTTGTGTCAATTCTGAACCATAGAACATGTTTACTTTATCTATTATTTCTATATTTTCTTTTAAGTTATCGTTAAGCATACGTTTGTACTCCCGACCTCGTTCTCGCACCTTTTTTCTTGTTCTTCATATTAAATTGAGAACCAAGGAAATCTATAACATCAATATCATCGGTTTTGAAATTCATAATAATTTATGCAACACTTAATATCACAGCAGTTAAAGTATTAATTTTTTTAGATCACTGCCATTTGAGATGCTTTTGCTTGGAATTCTAATACTATCACTACTAATTGAAGTTGTAGCATTAGAAGTATCTGTGTTCGAAGGAATATAATTTTTGTATGTGGATTAGTTGGTTGTTCTACGTGGCTACTCTAATATCGGTCTGACTGTGTGTCGTCGAGGGCGAAGGTGTGGACTAATGTTTCTAAGATTTTTTCTAAAAGTGTTATTGTCTGAATCAGCCCTGGCGCGTTTTGACATCGGCAGGATTAGTGGGCTCTGAAGGCTTGCCTCGTTGTTCTTTTGTATCGTATTTTCCGCAGTTAGAGTAGGCGTCTTTATCTTTTCTTCTGTATACAACTTCCCGTAGTTAAATAACTTATCCTGTACAAAGTTTGATATTTGAGCCGCCCTATTTAGCTTTCTTTCAAATCGGATAGAGCTTTTTTCGTGTTTGCTCGAATTCAAAGGAAAACTATTGTGTTATGCCATACTTTTTTCCTTTGAGCTGGTAAGCACTTGATAGAACTATGTCTATATCTTTCTGAACAAAATACTGAAGACTATTGGCCTCGTTCCATATAATCCTTGTTTATCAAACCGATAGCCGTTTCTGAACTCTATTCGATAATGAATTTTAAGTTCATTATGTAAAAAGTTTGACTTCAACGAGCTCGTCTTTATGGTATTGCAAACCTGAGAATATAAGTTTATTTTCCATGGAGCGGCACTTTAACAATGTGTAAGTCTATCAAATTTTCTTCCATTATCTTTAAAACGTCCAACTGATCGATAAATTTTGAGATGCTTGATTTTTTCACTTCCGATCCTTTCTTCCACTTCTAATTTCAGTTCTTTGATTCCTTGTTTTTTACCGGCACTGATTGATCACTGCATCCAACACTGTGTTTCAACCTGCAAAACATTGCTCAAACTCTCCTTTTCTTTGAGTTATGCGTTTGACTACTTGCTCAATGTCTTCTTGCTTTGATGTTATCATTCTATCTTGTACAATTTCTGCTCAATTTTCCACATTCTTTCCTCCATTTTTTAAAATGTCTTCAGTATTTTTGCAAGAACGGTTGATTCTGTGGTTCTAGCTTTTTTTCTTTGAGCTATCGGAATTATTTTATTTTTGGTCTCGGTATAGCAAACAAGAAAAAAGTCGACTCGTAGTTAAGAGATCATTATGAAAGACAATTAAGTAACCAAGTGGAACAATCGTGTTATCATTTGTGATCACGTTCCGTTGCTGCGTTGTGGCTTCCGACCATCCAAGCTGAATAAATAGCGTACATAATTATAATTGGCGTGTGAAATTTGATTGAAACAGTCCTATCTTTTGACTCGGAATGATCTGCTGATTAAGTTCAATCGGTTTGTTTCATATGATACTCTCCTAAATGTTCCAAACCATGACTTTTTATATTCAAAATTAAAAAGGATGTTATTTTCTAAAAATCTTTGGTGTGTAAACTAAACAAATAACAAAAGTACATGTATATATGTAGTATGCAAGAATCATATTCAATTGACAATTCAATGGTGACTGTTTTCCCTCTTTTATTTTGTTCTTGAATATTTAGATTAAATAAACCTATTTCTCAAGAGATTTTCCAATCAGTCTGAACAAATTGATTTTCATTCCGAGTCACAATTCGTTATCATTTATTATTAAGCGTAAATCGTGATAATGGTTACTAAACCACACTTATTTGTATGTATTGCAGCACTTCGTAAAATCTCGCAAGATGTTCAAATGATTTGAACAATAGACAAAGACGTCGACATAATAAATATGCTACTTATCAGAATAAAAGATACTTTACGAAATTTCGCAGGAAATACAACTTTACATGGAATAGACAGGGTTTCATCACGAAAACACGTTATAGGCAAAGTTCTCTGGGCTTGTATCGTATTGACATGCGTGTCTTCATGTTTCATACAAATATATAGACTTGGTGTCCAGTATGCAAGGTAAGAATTGTGTGTCTTATACTGCAGCAAATTTTAATAAATATGTTTTTACCTAAACGAAAAAAGAAACTGACTGCCAAGGTTTTCTTTGCAATCTGATGTTACAGTGTCATTTGTTTTCATATTTATACATGTTATATGAACATTAAAACATTTAATATTTTTGTTCTTAAATTTAGTACTTGAGACAGTATAACTTTGATATCATTGAAAAAAGATGGATGTACGGTAAACACCAAAGAGACAGCAATTCAGCAACACAGGTGACTACCAACATAAAGAGATCAAGAGACAGTCTTAGCAAATTGAACGGACAACATTTACAACATGTTTTAGACTCGGTGTGATTTTAAGCTTAACACAATATATTGATATACACCTTTTGATTACTGAAGGTTATTTTGAGTTATTCTATGGACACTAGAATTAGTGTCAATGGAATATGTTTAAGCTTGAAATCACTCCGAGTAAATCTCGCATATTAATGTTTATCTACAAATAAATTGTAAGTTAGATAAACCGAAAGTTTTTTCCACAGTGAAAGAGGGATTACAGATATACTGTGGTACTGCTTACTCGCGTAGTGGCATTAATCATATGTGGATTCTTAAGAACTCGAAAAAACTTCTGGAAAATTAAAATCACGGTCATTTTCTGAAATAAATTCTATCAAAACTTTTACACCACAATATCACATGAAGAACCGAAAACCCGTCTTAAAGAAATAATCCACAATGCTTTTCTCCATAACAATGCCACCATACGGTACAACTTTATTGTTTTGGGGATATAACTCTACATATTTTGTTAAAATGAGCCCAGAAAAACATGCTAAACCGACGAACAAGTGATCAGTATAATGGGGTTTCTCATTGACAACTTATTTGTTGAATTTGTCGGTGGAATAGTGTCTACTTAACAAATAATACAAGATGGTCTCGAGTTACAGATTCTACATTGTAGGTGCTGAAGTTGTGTATCTTTTATTTAACTTTAGTTTCCCCGTTATTTGTCTTCTTGCTATTATGTTTCTTTTGGTTGTATGACTTTTGACGTGACTCGGTATTTATACATCCCGACATCATGTTTATGACTTTTGACGTGACTCGGTATTTATACATCCCGACATCATGTTTATGACTTTTTACTTTTGGTCATTCCTGGTGCAGGTGGATCCTGAGGTGCGATTCGGACATAACGAGTTTTTACAGTATTGATTCTATTTTATTCACCATTGTATTTGTATTTACTTAATTTGTACTTGATCGAGAAAGTGTACATACTATATACGCCAATATACGGTATGTACTTTCAACGACAAAAACTTTTGACGTTATTATCCAGTTTAAAATTTATTATCACATTTCTTGTTGTTGTCTGTATTATATTAATTTGTATGTTTGTTTGAATTTTTTAGTAAGTTGTGTTGTATGTCTATCATGAATGTTTACACAGTTTTGGCTGCTGGATCCCGATTATTGTTACATTAACCTATAAATTATTTGAGTTTGAATGTCCCTTTAGTATCTTTCGCCCCTCTTTTATGTCTGTGTGGGTTGCGTACCCAATGTTGCCAATAAAACGGAGCTATAAACAACTGTCATACAAGTGGGAGCTGTAAAACTAGGTTTAACCCACAATTTTCTTCTGAAAATGCCTGTCGCAAGTCAGGAATATGGCAGTTGTTTTTCACTTGCTCCGTTGATTGATATCGTGTGGTTTTGGCAATTTTTCTAGACTTCCCCTTTTTGAATTTGCCTTAAAGTTCGGTATTTTTTTTTATACTTTTTTGAGTGGATATCAACATGATCAACGAGAAACGTTATGTAACTCTTGTCACACGTGATTGATTGTTTGCTGTACTTTTAATTACAAATAGTTGATAAATATTCAGAGGGAGAACAAAAAAGCAATTCTTATATCAAATAGATTGGGATGAATGGATCGACTAGAATTAAGGACGGGAATTTTGAGTGTAAATGCAAATTAGGGTATACATTTTGCATTCATTGCAGCATGCCATCTTACTAAGCATTGTTGCAAGGGTTCGTTCTCTACGCGAAGCATCAGAATAGGCATCATAGTTTCGACTTGTCGACATCGCGCACTACCAAACTGACGCCCCTCTTAATCATGAATTTATTCTTTCCGGATGGGACAAGCCAAGGGATGAACATATTTTAATGTCACGTTTAACCCTCGGGTCTCTCTTCAAAATTAACTTGAAGTATTTCACCATCAGCTTTTCCATGGGTTTAACAATCAAGAGTAAAAATGATTTTGAAATCGCTTTGAAATTCGCATTCTGGTTTGAAGAAAAAAACAGGAAGCATTTAAATATTATCTGCTAAATTAATTTAGAAAGCCGTGTTTGTTTTGAGAACTGTAGGAGATGACTAGCATGCTAATCGTCCGAAATCTCCCACACACTTCTCATCCTCCACAATGTTGATTGGATGCAAAAGTACTGTATGCCAAATGTAGACCAAAAATAAGTCAAATTGAGCATTAACATAATGGGAAAACACGCAAATATTTTAATCATTTTTCTATCTTTTTTTTTTTCATGCAGCTCGTTGAAACTCTTCGGAATACAAAAGCTTATAAATACAGCAAAGTTTAAGTTAATGAGGTCCTTAATGGTTGTTTATAAGAGAGGCGAAGGATACCAAAGAGACATTCATACTCATAAGTCGAAAAAAACTGACAATGTCATGGCTAAAGAGGAAAAAGTCAAACAGACAAATAAAAACACACAAAACAACATAGAAAACCAAAGACTAAGAAACACGAACCCCATAAAAAACTGGGGTGATGTCAGGTGCTCCAGAAGGGTAAGCAGATCCTGCTCCACATGTGACACCCGTCGTATTGCTCCTGTAATTACAAACCCGATTATATGTCTAATTATTTAGGTCACATTCGGGGGAGGGGACGAGATTGTAATAAACTGTATATAATTTGTTTCTCTGATCAATTGAAATAAGAAAGTCAAATTCCTTGTCCAGAGGTTTTTTGTCGACATTTGTGACTACATGTCTTGGAATAAGGAAGATTTCTGACAACCATCATATCTTCATACTTGTTTAATTACAAAGTTAATTTTCATCCTGAATGTGCAAACGTCACTTTAAGTTTAAGAAACAACTTTCAATGTTTCTGTTATTGGCTTAACGTTCAATAGCAAAAATTACACGCATTTTCAGAACATGTCCAATACTTGAAGTTTGACATTATCAAATTAATTTTTACAGTAAACAAGTCATCACTAAAATCTCCATCCAAAACCAGAAAATTTACTTTCCTGCTGTTTCAATTTGCAATTTGAATCCAATCAGCTTTCTAAAGATACAACGTGAATACCAGCGGGATCAACTCAATGGTTCCTTAACAGGCCTTGTTGGTGACCTAGTTTACTCTAAATACCTACAAATATTTACAAACATCAATACACAATTGGAAGACTCACCTGAACTAATAAGGATGGGCAAACGTAAAAGGGTAATTTACATATTGTTTTGGCGCCTTATATTTTTGCATGCTCGATGTAATACACGTTTTATTATGTTAAAGTAACAAACGAACATGATATGATAACTAACATGTGATGCACAAAGATACAAGGGTGCACGAAAGTAAGTCCTGGTACATCAATCATGCCTGAAGACAACCTTTATCATGAACACATAATGTATATTCCTGTTTATTCCTATGAATGACTTACAGGAAGATTTTTGAAAAGAGTACTATGACCGCTAGTAAAGCTCCATAAAAATATTATTTTATTTTCACGACTAATGACTCTATATCTATGCATCCTAATAATCACTTAATAACCATTGACGACTCTTTGGTGTCCAAATTTTTTCAAACCCTCACAACTGATTGTCTTGCTTAATAATGGTTAATTTAATTAAACAGTCGAATCTACAATATTTGCACAATTTTGTATTATTTCTAAATTATTAACAAGAAGAACTTTTTCGCAGTATTCACCAGACTTAGATCCCTATTTAAATCACAATATATATATATCTAAAAAAATAAAGTGAATGTACAAAAGTAAAACCCTGTGAATGTGTGCCGTGAAGGTCCAATAAACCGTCAGTAGGTAGCTGTGATATTACTCTCAACAAATGAGATGTTAGGTGCATACTATTGCTTATTATTCATTCTTGTGTAATATTTCATTATGAGGTAAATGATTAATCTTAAGATTGTATAATCAGAACTCTGAATATTGCCATCATAAAGAAATGTTTTCTAGTGTCATGTACTACGGAAACTCTGACAGGTGACTACAACATATATGATATATTAATTGGTGATTGCTGAACGCCACAGTATGCGAAAACTACTTTGCATTCTTACTCTTTTGTTTTGTATTGTTCTGTTTTGTTAATTCACTGAAGACACAATATCGTATTACTGATTTTGATATTTAGAAGAAATATATACGTTAAAAATAGAGAAGCAACAGACTTTTTTGTTACCCATTTTTCAAAAACTATATGTCTTGATTCCTTTTATAGAATTCAGAATGGTAAACTGGATTACTTTTTAAATTTCCTGCATAACATTTTGTATGAAAAAAGTAATCATATATGTATAGCAAATCGTTCTTATTTCTAAATCTAATCATTTTCAAAATATCTTGTAAAGTATATAATATATCTTATAAATAAGAAGATGTGGTATGAGTGCCAATGAGACAAGTATCCATCCAAGTCACAATGTGTAAAAAGAAAACAATTATAGGTCAAAGTACGGCCTTCAACACGGAGCCTTGGCTCACACCGAACAGCAAGCTATAAAGGGCCCCAAAATGACAAGTGTAAAACAATTCAAACAGGAAAACCAACGGCCTAATCTATATAAAAAACGAGAAACGAGAAATACTTATGAACCACACCAACAAACAACAACCACTGAACAACAGGCTCCTGACTTAGGACAGATGCATACAAATGCAGCGGGTTAAACGTTTTAACAGGAGCCAACCTTCACCCTAACCTGATAACAGTAGTATAAATTTGAGAAGGGGATGGGGAATATGTCAAAGAGACAACAACCCGACCAAAGAGCAGATAACAGCCGAAGACCACCAATGTGTCTTCAACGCAGCAAGAAAATATCGCACCCGGAGGTGGGCCTCAGCTGGCCCCTAAATACAAATGTGTACTAGTTCATGGAAAATGGACGTCATACTTAACTCAAAAACATATAAATGAACTAAAATTAACAAACATGCAAGACTAACAAAGGCCAGAAGCTCTTTACTTGGAACAGGCGCAAAAATGCGGCGGGGTTTAACATGTTTTGTGAGATCTCAACTCTTCCCCTATACCTCTATTAAATGTAGGATAAAGAAACACACAGCAATTCGCACAGTAAAGCTCAGTTTAAAAGAAGTCTGAGTCAGATGTCAGAATAGGTAACAAAAGAAACTTGTAAGCAAAAAGACAATGATACATAAATTAACAAAGGACTACTAGCAGTTACTGACATGCCAGCTCCAGACCTCAATTAAACTGATTGAAAGATTATGTCTTCATCATATGAAAATCATACACAATCCCTCCCGGTAGGGGTTTCTTATCATACCATCATACAATATGTGAGAAGAACATAACCCGTATCATGCCAACAACTGGTTTTAGAATAAATGTGTTTATTTCCGATGCAAAGACCCTATGAGTGAATCAATATTAATTCCAAAATACGCCATCTTTAATGACATGACTACAGTATTGTAACTATATCCCTTTATTATTAAATAAACAAAACATCCCATGCAGTTTTTGAGTATAAAACATGTATTTTCGTCTATTTATAAGATTTTGTTTTACTCAGGTAAATTAATCAATGAGTGATAGATTTCTCTTAGAAGAAATTTAAAGGTCCCAGTGAATAAACTGCACATAGAACAATAGCTATTGTATTTATTCAATGAGACAAAAGAACTTACAAAAAATAAATCAACAGTTAATCTTCAAGTGAATCTGTGGAAACGTATCATTTGGTACGCAATAAATTAACTTTTACATTATAGATGTGCTTTAAAGAGACATTATTGATAACAACCTACCGGATTTCAATTTTCCGTGAAATATATTACATGCATTAGTTTAATATGCTATTATCATTTTGCACATATTTTGTGTTTATGGTTTGGGAGACTATGTTAACTTTACAGAAATCAGAATCAATATATTATATTTTATGAAAATTTTTATTTTTTAGAGAGATGTCCAAAGAACATATGAAGACAGCCAGGGTAAATTTAAATCCTACCAAAAAATATTGATGTTGGAATTAATGTTATATAGGAGTGAACGAATTAATAAAGTCTGAATTATTTGCCATGTTGATTTAACTATAATGTAAAAATATCTTTAAGAATCAAGACAATGTTCGATACTGGTTGACTCCCTATTTGGTTTTATTTTTATTGTTTGATAACGATCTTTTACACCGTGTCCATATATTCCCAAGCATGTTCAAAGCAAAAAAAAAACTATTTTTATATATAGTAAAACCTGTAAGCAACTTCCTTTTACCATTGAAAAGATGTAGTATAATTGCCAATGAGAGAAATATCCACCAGTGACCAAATGAAGCGGAAGTAAGCAACTAATGGTCACCGTACGGCCTTCAACGGCGAAAAGACAAACAGCAATAACAAAAATCATTAAATATAAAAATTAAGACCGAGCAACACGAATTCCATTAAAAGCCAGGTGTGAACACAGATGTCTTGGAAGGGCAAACAAAAAGCAATATATCTAGATTTTTTGAAAAGGTTGTAGTTCTTTTGACATTGTTTATTTCTATTACTTAATTTCTTAATTGATAAATAACGGCAACAGTAGTATACCGCTGTTCAAAAGTCATAAATCGATTGAGAGAAAAAAAAAATCCGGGTTAGAAATATTTAACTAATTGTATTTCAATTAAGAGATAGATATCTAGTTTCGTTGATGCTGAGAAATATAAAAAAAAATCACAAAAGATACAAGTTTTATGTTTTTGTCTTCCTGACACAAAGACTCAGTTGTACTTGGCACATTTGTAGATGCCAAATCAAAAACGAAGTTGTACAGTATCGAAACCTAAAATTAACAACACAAAAATGTGTCACATCTGATTAAGGTCGTATTAGCGTTGGGTAGCAAAACCTAGAGTGACGTCTGATTTAAATATTTATGAACAACGAATTTACAAAAATCACCACACCAGTGATCGTATAGATGAAAGACATATTTCATCGACATAATAGATAATCTTTAAAAAAAAAAAAAACAGTATCTGATTCGAAATTCAGTTTAACAGATCATTTAAACCAATTATCTGTTTTGTAATGGATAAGAAAGGATACAATGCATTCATTCATTACATGAATATCCATACTTTTAGCTCCTCCTAATGTTACAATTCACAGAACAGATTACAAAGCTAAGATTGGTGGAACGGTAACTCTTCAATGTGAAGTGACAGACATTACTTCATCCTTTGTGGTTCAGTGGCAGAAATGGGAATATGATAGTTCTACTTTCATGAATATATCTAGCGACAAGGCAAACAAATACAATGGGTCTACAACCATTACTCCGTCACTGACTATTTTCAATGTTGAATATAACGATGAAGGATCATATACGTGTACAGCCGGAAACAAACACGGCACTGATAAGAGCCCAATCATATACTTAACAGTTACATATAGTAAGTAAATATTTCTTATCCGTTTCCTGTGTTGTGCAGCGGGAATATTCAATGATTGTTCTATCCGTCATTTTGTTCGATGGTTAGTAAGATTTATTTTTAAATCCTCAATTTAAATGAAGGTTTCCCAGTGGCGGATCCAGAAATTTTCATAAGGGGGCCCACTGACTGCCTAGGAGGGGGGCCGCTCCAGTCATGCTTCAGTGATTCCATAAATAATCAACCAAATTTTTCCCACAAAAGGGGGCGGGGCCTCCTTGGCCCCCTAAATCCGCCTGTGATCAAAACTTGGGATGAGATCAATAACCAGAAACTTCTAAAAACTGTGGAAGTAATTTTTTTTTTGGTGGGGGGGGGGGGAACCTTTATTGATTTTGTAGGGCATGTGTGTGTAAGCTTGCTCGCTTAAAGTTTTCTTTCTTTTTTATTGTCAACAATGCAAGATATCAAATTCAACAATAATGAAGGGCGAATGGTTGAAAAGAATGTGTGTGTAAATTGGTGTTAAACATGTACACTCCACAGCAATACATAAAGCCTGCAGCGGGACAATGAACTTGAAATGTGATATAGAATGAACTGAAATAAAATAAAGATATTTTGGATTTATGTGTCAAGAGGTCTGACGTATACCTATAACTCCTTAATATCAAATGAAAAGGTGTCGGATGAGACATAGAATAGAACTCCTAAATTGGAAAATTATATTTATGAACCCTTGGGTTCTCTCGGGGATCAATTTTGAGTTTTTTCAATCCTCCTAGATTAATTTGTAGAGAAAAACTGCATACACTTTAACAAGAGGCGATGCCTTTTATATATTTTGTAATGAAATGTAATTTAAACGTTTGTTGTGTATGTGCACATATTTTACTTTTTCAGATGATAGGCATTTCGACAAAAACTGTCTTGTCAGTTATGATCAAGAACCCCTTCTTTTCTGGATCATCCATCGCTTTACTATCTTCCCCGATAACCGAAATAATCGTTTTCGTTCTATGTCATGATTAAGTTACTTTCATCATATCTGTTTTTCCAATATCGTTTTCTGACTTCCAAAGTATTGGAGAGGCGATACATACCGAAGGGACATTTAAACTCATAAGTAGAAAATAAACTGATGGCTTTCACCTGTAAGAAAATCAGTTTTATGTAATATGAGGGGTTCGATTGGATAAGGTTTGCAAGGTTCTTATGATACGGCTTCAATGTATGATGCACTTTAAGCTTGATGAATGCCCAGTGATAGCTCAACTCACTCAACTCAAACTGGTATGCTGTTGATAACTCGTATTCTATATATTTACTTTGTATTTTTAAAGGTGTACTCTATTACTCTATATTTCTATTCTGTATGTTTTATTTGTACTCAATCTTGAGCTAAAAGAGAATTAATGCAGCTGTTTCAACAATAAACTTTTATTAACAAAATACAACAAGGCAAGCAAATCCAACAAGTGTAAAGTGGTATCAAAAATGTAGACGAAAATGTATCAAAAGTAAATGGGAAGTATAATTTAGAAATGTAAACTATTATCAAAAATAGAGAGGTATCAAGGATCAAATCTGAATAAATAGTTTTACTTTAGATAAACATAGATCAATCTAATAATTAAGCGTTTAGAACAGACCAGGTTAACTTACCAGCAGAGTGGAAAGCTTCACCATTACAGGCAGGAAACCCGTCTTTAGACAAATTTGAAAATGACCCGGCAATCGCAATATATCTATGCGAACGTTTATAAAATAAGGTATAATATGAAATTTGGAAGTACAACAACTAATTAATAAATAATAACATCTTACTCCTGAATAACTAAAAGACTTCAATTTTAGACGATCTTATCATAAATTAAATACCAAAGATAAGACTGAACATATGATAAAGTAATTAGTGAGGAGGTTATTAACCATTTCTCATGGAACATAACTCCGTTTTCCGAAAATATTTAACTGCATTTGTTTTTCCTTCAAATTTACCATAGACCTCAACACGACCACTACGGGCATTCGAAAATATCGGAAGGTATTTAATTCTCGATAAAATAAATTGGTCGATTTGAAGTTTAAATACATGAATTTATTGTGAACATTTAAAGATGTTCGCTACTCTTGTTTTTTTTATATTTTTTTGTCAAATATTCGGAATCCTCTAGTTTTATCCATGAAGCGCCAATAAAATATTTTGCCCGCTAACTTTACTTTTTGCCCTCATAATCTTATTACGTATATCTTAAAAAGACATTTTTGAAAACCATATAAAGTCCTTTTTTTTTTTCATAGTTTGTGAAAGAAAAAAAGGTGTAAATGTTAAATGTATGAAAAATCTAGAGATAATAATTTCCCGCCAAATTTTCAGTTGACTATATTGAAAAAAAAAGGACACGGACCTGTCATTTTTTCAACTTCTTAAGTTCCGTTATTTATAAACTATCAAGTTATCCCAGTCCGTTAAAAAGCATGTTAATTTAAAACAAAGGAGCAAACATGCCAAGTGTTATTTTACTACCACCTTTAATGATCCCATTAGTATGGAAGCAATCAAGTCTTAAGATGAATCCATACACTTATTTGTATAAGTAACGTTTATACTACTGTTGTTTAATTATTGCTTTGGGGAGTTTGAAATATAAACGTATCTGCTATAGTGTAGAACAAGACTGGAACTTTTGTGTCAAACAATTTCGATACATTTTGAGCTTCAAAGTAACAGCGATTTTTTTACCTTAGTTTGTTAAATATTTCATCGATGAAACTGGCCATTAAAAACGCCTTACCAATTTAAGGAGTTATCTCTATTGACCCAGGTCTTCCGCCTCAATCTATACCTGTGTTTTATGTTGTGTATTATACCGATTTTACAAAGGTAAGTGCATTTTTTGAATTGCCAATTCTTTTATAAATCTTTGTTATTTCATTGGTCCAGACTAATATAGGTGTATGTGGCATATAGTTGATGTTACAGATGAACACATATTATATGCTCTACTTGTCATTGCCACAATATCGAATATCTGTCTTACAGATGACCACAGGATATATTCAACTTGACTTACGCACAATATCGACCACTTTTCTATGATGGTGACACCCCAGAATACGACCTCTGAACAATTTGTGCTTGACAAAAGTGAAGCAGGAACTGCTGAACCTTCTGAAGCACTTGAGTTCACTCCATGTCTTGTTTGAAGTGGATGAAGCTTTTAACATATTCGAATGGTTATTGACTTTGGCATAGACATAAGACATCTGCAATTGTTTTATAACCTGATAAGACTCATTAACAACGTATTGTGGAAACTGCTGTCGAGTTCGAAGCACCTGAGTTTAGCTCCCACACGTCCGAGTTTTCATGGGTTTTCTATTGCTTAAGTTTTTGTATGTGTGTATGTGTTTTGTGAACTGTCTATTTGTGCATACAAAACCTCTAATAGTTTTAAAAGCCAGACTTGTGTTTCATCGACAGCTAAGGTAATCTATTCCTGGGGTAGAAAATCCATAGTATTCATATAAATTGAAAGTTTGTAAACAGTAAATTTATAAATATGACCAGATCCACGTCAACACGGAAGTGCTGACTACTGGGCTGTGTATACTCTCGGGGAGGAAACCTTTACCAGCAGTGGCATCGACCCAGTGGTTGGAAAACATTTCCAAAATCAGGCTTATATTTGGTTACACCAGAGGTGCGTTTCGTCTACAGATTACTCATCAGTCACGCCCGAATATAAAAAGTAAAAAGGCTAAATATAGTACGAAGTTTAAGTTCATTGCGGACCTACAATTAAGAAAGGTTTTTCCAAATACAACTAAGGTAATCTAACCCTTTGGTAGAACAAATCAATGATATTCCACGTCAACACGGAAGTGCTGACTACTTGGCTGGGGATATCCTCAGGGAGGAAACCTTTAGCAGCAGTGGCATCGACCCGCTGGTTTAAAAAAAACTCATAAATCAGGATTGTATTGTTTACACCAGACGCACGTTCTTGCTACAAAAGACCCATCAGTGACGCTCGAATCAAAAAAGTAAAAAAGATAAATATAGCATTGAGGACCCAAAATTAGGAAGGTTTTGTCAAACGCAGCTAAGGTAATATAAACCTGGGGTAGAACAATTTATTGTTTGTTTTTCTATCACAATGCTCTTATTGCCCCTATGTTTCTCTTTTGGGTCTTGGTTTGTAGAGAGGTCCAAGTAATGCATCTACAGCGATCATCAGCCTACCAACACTGATAGTGTGAGATCGAACCTCGCTCATGGAAAGTACGTTCGACTCTCATCTTAATTGACTAGGATTGCTAGTTTTCCTGCCCAATGTTAGCGGTACCTGAGGGCAAACAGGCTTTCTCACCCAGATAAAACACTTTTCGCCATGATAGAATCAAGAAAAGAAAAAGAAAAGTGAGTGATATGGGGCAAAATATTTTACCCTGTACCGTAGGAAAAAAACCTAAGGAGTCCGAACATCTGACAAAAATTCCTAAACCTGACCTGACTACATCCTTATTAAGAAGCTATACGATAAAAAGATATTGTATATTGTTAACATCATGACTTGAATGTAATATTGACAGACGTTCAGAACGATCAGATAATGTTTGCAGTAAAACTACGCTGATATACTGTTTAGCCAGTTTCGTGTTTCCTTGATTTATCTGTCAATCAAAATGTATGCTAGTTAAGCGCTGTAAATACAGAAGCAAACCATTTTAAACACAAAGATTTAAGAAACAGCCATAACGCAAATTTACTTTTATATTTATATACCTTCTTCTATAATAAAAGAATGTTTATCTGCAGATGTTTTAGATAATATTTGGAGAGGAAGCGAGAGATTCAGGCTGTCGGTGTTTGGATTGACTAATTTTTTTTCTCAAAAAGCAGAGACTATAATCAAAGACCTGTCTGCGGATTTTTCTGACTTTGTTATCTACTGCAATTTTGAGGGACGTCAGTGCAATAAAAGGTATTTTATTTTTCTTCTAGTTTTAGTTTTCTAACTGATGTCTAGCCTATGTCTAGATTATGTCTAGCCTATGTTCGTTTGTGATCCTAATGTTTTTACGAGATTTTGATTTTTATGTGCATATAAAGCAGTCTGTTTATATTATTGTAAACTCTACTTAAAGGTATACTATCCTAGTGGACCTGTTTATAGACATTACTTCGCATAATTTTGGGAACAGTTTTATTTCATTCTAAAAAAAAACATTTTTATAATGAAATACTTTCTTTTCCTTTAATCGTTTATTTTGTGGTGAGGGGTGTTGATTTATAGATGTTATATTTTCATTAAACGCCTTGATATTATTTATAAAAGAATTACCACTGGTTCAGAAATTGAACGAAATCATATTTTGGCCCCAAATAGCCAACAAAATAAGGAACAGTGTATTCCTTTTAGAATTAAATGGAAGATCCCATTGATAAGGAGAAATATCGTTGAGGCCTCCTGATCTTGAACAAGAAGATCAAACAGCATTACAAATCTACTTAATACCAAAATTGCAAAACAAACTTTGAGAGCACGTCATTTTTTTCTATTCACCATGGTATACTATGTCTTACATATGTATGAATTTGATTATGTTACCAAAATCTCATTTTGCGTAAGACTAATATCTTATTTGTAACACAGGTATGTCGACAATGACCATTTAACCTCAACTATATCAATGTTTATTATCAAAATGACATGACATTTCTCCACTAAAAGGTCGAGTTTATATAGCTTCCCTTAGTATGTGCTTGTGTAAGGGTTTTCGATGTTTGTTATACAACGGTTTAGTTTTAAACGCACTTATACATTGTTATATGACAATATCACTGAATTATCAAAATGAGATCTTTCAGCAGTATTTTAAAGAATTATTTTCCTATGTATCCGGGTGTTATTTCTTAATGAAATAGATCTTTAATCAGTCGAATTTGCCGTGTAAAGTAAATAAGATTGCTAAATTAAATTTTCTATTCCTTTAAAAAGGCTAAGGAAAGATGGGAAAACTATACCAACGCAGACATATAATATTTTTGTAATTCCAGCATACAGTTTTGTTGATTACTGAATGGTCGGTTTTATAAGAAATTATCCTACAAAATCTGTCATTTTCTCTGTACCCAATATACCCGTAATACTTATTTTAATATGGAATGGTCATTTTTATTCAATCTTACGCACCATGATTAACCTTTACCTCTTTACCTGCGTGTAGTATGTAAGAAAGTGAAACATTATTATGTATCAATCATTGTATATAAATAAAGGCAACAGTAGTATACTGGTGTTCAAAAGTCATAAATCGATTGAGAAAAAACAAATTCGGGTTACAAACTAAAACCGAGGGAAACAGTCATATGCGGGAATATGACAATGATGGTATTGAAAGGCAATTTTATAATTATAAGTGATGGCACATCAAGTTGAAATAATTAATGCATTACATTAATGTGTTTAAACATAGTGTTCTAATACTTAACTAGAGCCCTGAATCGAGGATGCAGGATACTTATAGTTTTCACTTTGTCCTACCTTATGTTTGTCTGTATGTCTTTCCGCCTGTCAATCAACACTATTGTAAACGAAAAAAAAAACCGTAGAAGTATGAATAGGATGTTTAAAACATTTCGTACAAATGTCATGCATAATATGATAATATGCATAATTATCTATTTTTTGTAAAAATTAGCAAATAGATTTTGGTAACAAAAAATATAATTTTTTTTTTATCCAGCCATGCTGAGTCTATGTGATCACTCCGGATGTCAAATGGTGCACAATTCTGAATTGACGACATATCATGAAACCACAGATGTGTTAATAACTTTCAGAAAGTAAAAACACCTTTGAATCATTCACTATAAATTTTTGGCATGTAATTTGTCCTTAAATAAAAAACATTGAGATCGAACAGCTACTAAACTTTAAATATACAGGTGAATATAGTTCATTTGTAAATAACAATTCCGAAAATATTGTTTTGTGAAAATTAGAAAAACGTTTTGCTATAAAATCACAAATTTTGAGAAACATCTTCCTGTGCTAGGATTGCAACGAAAATTGATATATTCATTTACGCACTATATGGTATTCCAAATCGATTCCCGGTGTCAAATTTTGCATTCAAAATTTACTTTTGCTAAACATTCACCGAGAAGGAGGTATGAGAAGAGCCTACATTTGGCCCCTGAAATTGAAAAATAGTATAATCACTCCAAATTTTTCAAAATTATAGAAAATTTTTGAGTTGTGGTCTGGAAGTGCAAACAAGTCATTTGTGGTGTCACTATGATGTCATGAACAAGCCGAAATGGAAATACTTTTCCTAAAATCGTAATTTAACAAATAGTTTTTGGACAAAATAGATTTGATGAAAGGCTTTAACGAAAAAGATATTTTACACACATTTACATATTTATTAATACATAGCAACAAAACATATTTTGGATATTGCCTTGGCTAATATTTAATGAGGCTATTTTTGCAGATTTGTACTGATTACAAGTTTTAATACCTAGTGAAAAAATGAAAGACACCATTCAAAACTATGTATACTGATATTTGACAGCGAATGTCTTGTGAAATCTGAAGAATGGTATTTGTTAGATTGCTGTTCCTTTTTGATTTTAGAATTCAAGAGGCCAAAAAAGTGAAATCTTAGTTCTTGTTAAAATAATTAAAAAACTATGAGACATATTATTTATATAAACGTATCATTTGATATTCCAAATTGGTTCCTTGTTTCAATAATGATTTGTCCTTTCAATTCTTTTAATGGCTACCAAAATACATTATATTCATAGTGTTCGGATTTAAATATTACTGTGTAAACACATATACATATTCCAAATAATTTCGTTGTGTCAAACTTACGAAAAATGTATACTCCATATACATTATTCCTTTGATTGCATCAGTATTGATTATTTGTGTCTGTACCTCACATATAATTGTGGAATCGGGGCCCTTCCCGACATTTCAGTTTCTAGGTTGTCATAATTTAAACAGATCAACCCCAGTTTTTGGTTGAGATTGTGTTGCTCAATCTTAAGATTTGTATGCAGTGCTTTATAAATATTTTTGTCTTTTCCTCGTCTATCGTTTCTGACACGGTACTGTCAGATTTTCTCGACCTAAAATATAAAAATAAATTATATAGAGCCTTCCTTTAGATGTCCAGAACAAGTGATAAATGGAATACTCTCATATGTCATACGTACGATTCGATATGGAATCCAAACATTTAACCGTTCTGAAAATATATACCCCTAAACTACATTATTTAATAGTACAAGTATTACTGTAGATTTGGAAGCCGTTTTTGTTAAATGCCCATAAAGCCAAGTGACCTGTTCGCATCACTGTCTGTCGTCCGTCATCGCCCGTCGTCGTCTGTTCATAACCTCTGAAACTACTAGGAATATTGGCACCAACTTGTCCGTAATAATTCTTGTAGTATCTAGTTAAAAAAAAAATGTCTTACATGGCCAAAAACAGAACGTAGGGATAAAATGCAACTGTTGTCTATTATCGTAAAAACCATTATAGATAGCTAATATCTAACTGGAGCAGAAATTATCAAAACTTTGAGCTACTTACTAAATATTTACCTCAAAAGAGACAGATGACTTCTTATAGGAGTTTTTGTCCCTGAATGACAAACTTTACTCACAAAAAATGCCTATTATCTGAGAAATTAAAAAAATAGAGTAAAAGAGAGGCGCAAGATACCAAAGGGACATTCAAACGCATAAGTCGAAACAAACTGACAACGCCATGGCTAAAAAAGAAACAGACAAACAGACAAACAACAGTACATAAAACACAGCATAGAATACTTAAGACTTAGCAACACGAACCCCACCAAAAAACTTGGGGTGATCTCAGGTGCTCCGTAAGGGTAAGCAGATCCTGCTCCACATGTGTTACCCATCGTGTTGCTCATGTTAGTACAAAAACTTTAACATTCAAAAGTTATAATCAAGTCGAAATATACAAATCATCTACGGACGAAATCGTCAGTCAACTTCTTACTGGAGTTTTTGTCCTTATATGACGATTTTTACCATTTTCTGCGTTCGGGCTTCTATCATGATAACTTCATTTGTATAATGGATATAGATACATTTTTGAAGAACGACCAGATCTACAAATAAGTCAAATTTTGATGAAATAGTTAGTAAACTCCTTATAAGAGTCATGACCCTTTAATGACGGTTTTGCTTTTGTTTCTCGATTTTACCTTTTATCTTGAAACCTATAATACAAGTAACCACAATAATTCAGTCCTTCCCCGTAATTGATATCTCCTACTTGCGAGGGCCTGAATTCCTAACACTCTAAAAACGCTTCACGAATCCTGGAATTTGATTGGTGCCCTGTAGAATAGGTGACCTATTAAAATTGGTAAAACCCGAGCTAATTCCGAATGATTGATTGACGATTTTTCATTGTCTACGCATTCAAGCGTTAATGTAGTAATCGTAGATGAGCGGAATGTGACGACTGAATTATTCGGATTATAATGCATGTAGTTACAGAAAAACTTTAAACAGCAATATTAATCAGCAAGACAAGAGCTACATATAAATAAAATTTTCTAAATCATTGGTCGACCCATCATATGAGTTATGGCCCTTGAATGACATTTTGATTTGTTTTTTTCGACTATAATCTTGAACACTATAATAGATAAATAGAAAGAAAAAAGCAAAACTGATCATCAATACAAGATCTATAAATATGGCAATATAGCCGAAATCGGTCATCAATTCCTTTGTTGAGTTATTGCCTTTGAATGACAATTTTTACCATTTTTTTCCGTTATTGCCTTTTATTTTGAAAACTATAATCGATAGATAGAAATGAAAGACAAAAATGGATCAACAGGACAAGATATATGAATTTGTAAATATGGATGAAATTGTCTGTCAACTCTTTATAGGAGTTATTACCATTTAATGAAAATGTTTTACCTAATTTTGCTTGCAAAAAACTTTTGTGAATAAAAAAACTGTAAACACCAAACATGACCAGTAAGACAAGATCTACAAATATATTAAATTAGCCAAATTATAAGTCGACTCCTTAAAGGAGGTATTGCCCTTAATTGACAATGTTTACCCCTTTTATTTTTTTGCGTTTTTGGCAAAAACTGTAGAAGAATATTAATTTTTGTCAGCTAATCTTCACCAACAAATAAATCAACAAAACTGACATTTTCAGTCTACTTCTTATTGGAGTTATTTCCCTTGAATGATAACGTTTACCAATTTATGTTTTTGGGGCAAAAGCTATAGAAGATAGAGAGAAACTGTAAATAGAAAAAAAAATGCAATACAAGATCAACAAATACGAGATTTTATTCATGAATTTAAAATGTATATAATAGTATAAAATGTTAGACAGTGGTCAATGTAGAAGATGTTCAAAGATATTGGTGAACGACACAGGCCTCCTATTTCTTTTTACAAATCTTCGAGAACAATTATTGAATCTGAATGGGAAGAACAATGAATATGTCGATTTCAAAGTACAAAGGTCATTAGTTTTTATCAAAGTTTAATAATTAATATATATTATGGGAAAGTAGTTTATTGTTTCGTGTTTCAATGATTTATTTATGTTTACAATATATTATTTCAACTACTTGATCAAAATATGGGAAAAAACATAGAGGTTGCCTGAAGCATACGAACTCTTTGTTAACATAGTACTGCTTAATTATTTGTATTGTTTACATGTAAACATACTGATCAATCTGAACTTGAATAAAGTAGTATACCAAATTAGTATGTAATTAATCCAGGTATGACTACATTGTGGGTCTGCTTCCTTCATTTAACTTCCGATCGCAAAATTTTTTTTTATAAAATTTCGTTAAGAAATACTTCAATTAATACTTACTAATACAATTGAGAATGGAAATGGGGAATGTGTCGAAGAGACAACAACCCGACCATAGAGCAGACAACAGCCGAAGGCCACCAATGGGTCTTCAATGCAGCGAGAAACTCCCGCACCCGGAGGCGTCCTTCAGCTGGCCCCTAAACAAATATGTTTACTTGTTCAGTGATAATGGACGTCATACTAAACTCCAAATTATACACAAGAAACTAAAATTAAAAATGATATAAGACTAACAAAGGCCAGAGGCTCCTGACTTGGGACAGGCGCAAAAATACGGCGGGGTTAAACATGTTTTTTGAGATCTCAACCCTCCCCCTATACCTCTAGCCAATGTAGAAAAAACAAACGTACAACAGTACGCACAGTAAAACTCAGTTTAAGAGAAGTCCAAGTCCGATGTCAGAATAGGAAACAAAAGAAAATAAACAAAATGACAATAATACATAAATAACAACAGACTACTAGCAGTTTTACTGTCTTTATACCACATGATGTTGTTTGTCTTTTGTCTTTTTAAAAATGTTTTTGTCTCGCTTCGTATTTGTTTTTCTTTGTTTGAATATATATGTACTATAAATATTTGTGTACACTTGTACACCTGTTTGTGTCTGAGATAATGAATACAATTCTTGACAGTAATTCGTCTTACGGTTAATTAAAAATAGATTGATCATGATAACCTACTGTACAATGTTACCGTTTAAAATTTCGCATTTTCAGATTACAATATGCCAGTACTACAACCCGGTGATGTGCGTTTTTTGCGCATGCCTTGAAAATTTTAGCTATGTAATTGCTCATACAGGGTGACCTTAAGTTTCATTTTATTGCAATATACTAATTTTACTTCAGTATGTTTGTTCCATTTGTTGACAAGTACTATGGCAAGTGTTACAGATTCCCATCAAAACCAATCATCACACAACGTGCAGGGCCACTCTTTGGTAAATAAAGTTTGTACTATATTTTGTATCCAAGGCAAATTTGTATTACATTTTCTAATCATGATTTACTTAACAATTCTTCTTCGTTTTTTTTAAAACTAAATTAAGTTAACTTGTATCCGAGTGCTTACATTTGTACGTACAAGCACTATCAACAAGATCTTAACAATTGTTTTCGTCTTCGATTTCTTTTATTTTTTACAATATATAAAATTTTGATATCAATAACTGAATTTTAAAGTCAATACATATTGGGTCGAGTTATTATCAAGAGCCTCTGATATATTTTATTTATATGTGTACAGCATTACAGTTGCTAATCAACGTAAATCAGAGTGATTATGTCCCATACATAACTTCAGAAGCTGGTATAAGGCTATCCATTCACGAACATGGTTCACAGCCTTTTTTGGAAAATAATGGATTTTCTGTGGCTACTGGATTTAGAACTGATGTTTCATTATTTAAGGTAAGAACAGTCACCGAAGGAAAAAAAAAAAAAAACGATTAAGTGCTGTCATGTACATGTCCTTTTTGCAGTTAATCTCTACCACCTACCTCCACCAAACCTACGAAATAAGTTGGCAAGAAATATTAGGCAATAGTTGTAGTTTACAAATTTTCAACCCGAGTAAAAGAAAACTGAAAGAATTGCATGAGAAGCTATTAGTGCATCGACAGGGTAAAGAATTCCAGCTTTGTATGCAAAACTCGCCATTCACTCAAATTGTAAAGATAGGGAATATGACACAATCAATTAATTTAAAGTTCAGATGAATTAAAGTTGAGACCGCGTAAACTTTTCTCTCGTAGGTGCACACCTGTTATATCGGTCAAACCATTCGTGATGGGGATCGTATAATTGTAAAGCATTTTTTCGATATCTGTCGTTCTTCCTCATAACCCTACTGCAACTATTTTCACTTTAATTGCGCATACAATAACGTCATTCGGGAAACGCACCGTCAGTGATGTCGTCATTTCTTTTTTTTACCATTATGACTTTATAATGATGTTTGCTCAAGGGGAGGAAAGCTGAGGTAGGTGGGCACGCTTTTGAGATATAAGCCATTGAAAATTTGGCGGGAAATGATTCTCTCCAGATTTTTCACATATTTAACATTGGCATCTGTTTTCTTTCAAAAACTATGAAAAAATAACAAGAATTTTATAAGATTTTCAAATATAGCTTTTAAAACTATATGTAACAAAAATGTGAAAAGAAAACAAGGGGTTTGCGGGCAAAATTTTAAATAGAACTTTCAGTATAATAAATTAAATATCACATATCTGAGAGGGTGATAGAGCAGATTGTTACCCCTCGAAAAGAAATTGTCAACCTTGGCTTCGCCTCAGTTGACAATGTTTTCTTGGTGTAACAATCTGCTCTATGACCCTCTCAGCTATGTGTTATTTGTACACTGTCTTCAAGAGCAAGGTCATACCTATTGTTGACTTTTATATAAAAAAGAAACAAACAGACATCAACTTGACGACAAACAATAAAATGAACAATTGTCCAAGATTATGGCGATACACTTTTAGCGTGTACATGTACACAAACATTTCCGCATTACATGTATCGTAATAATGTAAGAGGTTCCTAAAAGAGACAGGGTATCATTTTCATATACATTTGCTGTATACTGTTGTTCTGTTGAAATTTGTATCTAAATCATTAGTAAATATAACGACATTTTTATAGATTACAAAATATTAAAAAGAGTAATGAAATGAATAAGGAAAAAAAAAGTCACCACTATGACCAAACGATAAAAGATATACAAAAAACAAGCTAAAACTTTAAATGGAACAACACGAACTCTCCAAAAATCAGCATAGAATCGAGTGCTTTTGAAGGATAAGCAGTTCCTGCCTTATGGTGACATATATGATATTTTTATGATGTTAACATCTGATAACTTATATTTGGTGATTAGAAATATGCTAGGTAAATTTCTCCTGTCGACAACTTACACTTAACTAATTTCATAAACTATCAGTACATGTAATTTCCCTTAAGGAAATAAAAAAAAAAATTCGTACAATTTAAAACATATATCCTCAGAGGATTTTATGCAATTTTTGTGACTCTTTAAGCTGTTATTAGCCATGAAATGTTGAACAATTGAATGATTGTAACTTCAAAGAGATACAGGTTAAAACCAAACGGTAAAATCGATTTACATAGTGATATCCTCTTGAAAAAAGGTGAACAGAACATGTGTTAATTCAATCAGGACCTAATGTCTTGTTATGAAAACCTTCTAGCTTCTATTATTTTATGATTCATTGTAAACTGGGCAACGTTTTGACTTTTGTGGTAACTTTGTTCAAACCGGGAAAAGAGATTTTATCTGTCTTTTCAATGACTTATAATTCACAACTATTTCGGAAATATGGATAAAAAAGAGTCGGAAGATACCAAGAGACAATTCAAAACTGAAATATCGAGGGGAACTGACAACGCCTTGGCAAAAAACTAAAAATGACAAAAAAAGTTCAAAAAACATGTAAAACAGTACATAAAAAAATAAAGACTTGGTCACGAACCCCACCAAAAACTGGAGATCTCTCAGGTGCTCCGGAAGACTACGCCATTCCTGCTATATGAATATTAGTACACCGAAAGTAAAATTTGGTCATTTAGAAATAGCAAAATATAACGAAACCATATGCTTTGGGTACAAGAGAATTACCATGAATGTCGTGACAAAATGAAACCAACAGTAACCTTTGTAGACCGGCAGTGATTTTATTTTCTCTCTCTTGAGACTCACATATATAAGTTGATGCGAAATTATATTTCAACATTGTTTTTAATGACGACGATGGTACCGATGCTTATTTTTATCATTATCATTAGTGTTTGGTTATTATTGAAATCATTTTTCGCGTTATGCAATTTTTTTTTTAAAAATAATTGTATAGTCATTGATCTGTGCGAAAGAAAGCTGTCTTTTAAAATAAAATTATATAATTGCAATCTGTTTTTCTCTACAATGTAATGAGAATCTCGTTTGTGTTTCATTTTTGTAGTCATCCAATTACTGCAAGTTATACTTACATGCTTCCAACTTTCGGTTTGTTGAAGAAGTATACAATTCAACTAGCCGAAATCTAAAAAATAATCTATTATAAAAACAATATTGCTACGAGACAATCAATACTTACATCTCGAAGAAAGCAGGCAACATAATACAAAAGTTAAGAATGCAAACATTCAAAATTAAACGATTATCATTGCAAAATTGTCATGTGATAATTCTAACTACATCGACTAATTATGTTTTAAAAGAAGAGAATAGAAAGAATGTCTGGTACAACAGTGTGTGACACAAGTAACAAATTCAGTAACATCATTGTAAGTTATTTATGTAATGTCCTTTTGTTTACACATATACACTTTCATTGTCCTGAAAGATAAATGAATACATTACCCCGACAAAATTTAAGAGCTAAAAGTTTTCATTACCTCTAGAATATTTCTGTTTTGAACGGACATGGTAAGATCCAATAACTACCAGAAAGGCGTACATGTGGCCTAAACAATTAACCATGCCATACATCATTTTAAACTGGTATTCCCAATTACAAGTAAGAAAATGCGAAAACAAACAATATTGTTCGTGTCAGTTGTCAGCAAAATTGGATGTACTCTTAATATTTTGTTCTCACTTCGGATAAAGTCCACACGCCGCAAAGAAGTGACCAATATGACTTTGTAATATACTTCAGCATTTTTGATAAGATACATGACCACACATACAAATATACTGGCCAATATCCTTTGCAGTAAAATTTCAACATATAAACAAACTTCCAATCAATGATTAGTACCAGCAGAGGGCATATTAGTCACACCGCAATGATGTTATTGCTTGAGAAATGTGTTGAACCCTTTTGATTTTGTTATTGTCTGTTTTAATGAATATCATGACAGTTCAGGTAAAATTCATCAAAGGTAAGTTAAACGAATTATTTGTACATAAAAATATCACTTTATAAAATCCGTGCATCCGAAGCGCCTTTTTACATTTACCTTTATCAGGTAGCCACACCCCCTAAAATGTAATATTGATGTAACAGAATTAGAAAAAAAAAAACATCTGATAATATACATACAGTGATATATACGTCAATTAGACAGTATCTCAAAAGAACAGAAGACGAAATTTCATTTTAATAATACGTGTTGTTTTATATCTACGATGTTTCATTAAGCATATTTATAAAAGATACATATACAAAAAAAAAAAAAACTTTCTAGTTATAAAAATGGTGTTGATGTGAATAATACTGTAGAAAATACTAAAATTTCTGCGTTTTCTAGAATCAAATGCCCGATACTAGTTTTACTATATTTAAAGCACTCTTTGAATTTCTATTGCAAGAACAGTTATTTGTCAGAATGAACGTGTCAAGGAAGTTTTTTGAGGAAGAAATACTGAAAATAACACAATATAAACACATCATATTTGTTTTGCGTTCATTATTTTGTACATAAATTAGGCTATTAGTTTTCTCGTTTGAATTGTTTTACATTTCATTTCGGGGACTTTTATAACTGATTATGCGGTATGGCTTTTGTATTGTTGAAGGCCGTACGGTGACCTATAGTTGCGAATTTCTGTGTCATTTGATCTCTTGTGGAGTGTTGTCTCATTGGCAATCATACCACATCTTCTTATTTTTATACATGGTGTTTTTATATTGTTTGATCTTTACCATGTGTCAATTGAACAACGTGCTTCAACTTTATGTATATAATATAACATACCCTGAGAATAAAACAGGGGTATAGACATATGGTCGCAACGGTAGTAACACTATTGCTAATGGGGCGTCTGTTTGGCTGTGCGGTATGTATTAATTCGAATTACCTCCGGTTGGAATGAGAACGTTCAATCAAAGGCTTCGTATAGGGTGATCGCCGCGCTATCTGCACGTTAATAAAGAACCCTTGCAACAACTCTCTGTGGGGATAATAGGTAGTCAATTGCAAGCATTTCTGTCCCTTTCTAAGATACCCTTCTTTACCAGTAGCAGTAAAAATTGTCTTCCCTTCATCTCAGTCATGCCAACTTACAGAACCTACATTATTATTGAATTGTTCTCGTCTTAAATATGCATTTGATAATTGCAACTGAACATTAAGCAAGCTACAATCAAACAATTGATCATCTGTAACACGTGTCTACTTTAACAATAAAAAATTGTAAAAGTTTTCATCATAAGTTTTGAACTGTAAAATGTACTACTAAATATAAAATTGGAATCTGTTGAGGTGTTGCATGTATCATACACAACTTATCACTTAACACCGAGTCTCAGTTAGGTATTATGCAATTTCCTTTATTTCAACTCATGTGTTTGTTTGTGTTATACAAAGTTTAACATATCTGTATACTGTCTTTATATGTTTATCTTTCCAATAAAAAGTACGGAATTTTACGTGCTGTTTGACGACAAAATAAAAGAAAATTTAATAACTCTAATATAAAAATCCTTTTGAAGTGTTCAGACAAGAATTGTTTATTCTTTAATTCTATGACGTATTTATCTTGTATGTAGGCCTGTTTCGAGGATTGTGTCGAAAGGAATATAAAAGAAAAGTGCCAATGTCTGCAGAGCATGTTTACTGAGACGACTATCTGTGCAAATTACGGTATGGATCGTAAATGAAAAAAAATATGTAAATGTAATCAGTTAAGAAACTCACTCCAAGAATGATTTAAAATTTTAGTTTTGCAATTCATAGCATTGAAATAAGAAATATTCGAATCTTGGATGATTATTGATTGCTTAACATCTAGTGGCAAATATTTCATGCATGTTCATGACGATTGAACCTTGAAAATATCTTTCCTATTTGTTTATCTTTTATATATAAACTTTACAAATGTTGACCTTTTCCAAACAATGTTCATTTTGTTTTGTTGATCTTTTTATCGTGAATATAAAAATATATTCTTTTGTTGAGGCATATGATATAAGATTTCATATCGGATGTATTTCATTTGGCTTCCGTCATTGTAAACTTTTCACTTTTTGAACTTCTATTTGAGAACCCCGAACCACTTAAAAGAATCAATATATTAAACTGTTATTTTTCTCCATTGTTGAAACATATGATAAAAAGATCATAACATGTCATTTTTCATATCAGATGTATTATCATCCCTCAGGAATAAAACTGTAAATAATTTAATCTATAGTTGAAAGTGATGCTACCTTTATATGTGTCGTGCATAACATTGTACCCCGGCAATAAAAACTAAAAGATAAATAAATACACAATGATAATTCGTCTCCCAATGAAGAACAAAAATCAGCTATATAAGCTCGCGATTATAACCACCCAAGAGGGTAATTTTTGCGTTCTATAAAAACTTATTCAGACAATTAAAATGAACTACACATATATAGTTATGTCCAGAAACGCCCATTTTCTTAAAAGATACGAGGATTTTGTCTAAAAGTTCGCATATTTCACTTATAAAATTCAAACATTTTATGTTCGAAGAGAAACCTGTTATTGTACAGGGCAATGTCCTCATCAATGAGCGTAAATAGCATACAATTCTCGATGCACTGTCTTAAACTTTGTAGAGCTTGTTAAATATTTTAAAGATTTGCCGACTGTGACATACAAGAAGCAAGGCATCATTCGGTTAATTTGAAAACCAGTAACTCAAACAAAAAGGTTGCTGGAAGACTAAATATACAAAATGGCTTCCTGAAAGTTTTCCTAGCTTCGTATATAAAGTAATAAACATGACATATTGCGTTGTGGTTTCTCAAGAAAGAATGAGGAAACGTGTTGCCGAACAAAAAGGGTAACTGTCTTCTTGACACATTTCTAAAAAAGTTTTGAACCAAAACTCGGATATATATGTGTTTTGCCTGTTCACAATAAGGTCGATGCAATATACGTGGAGGAAACTCGAAGAGGAAATGCATTGGCTTTTAAAGCGGAAAACGGATCGGTAGCGAATTAAGGAACGCAATGTTCTATTTAACAGAACACGTCATGGTAACATTTTATATGTCCAGTTATTAAATTGAATATGGGTCACCAAATTTCACGAGTTTTAATCTCGGCTGCAATCTACTGTAAATTCAGAAATTTTCGCGTTCATTTATTATTGCGATTTTGTCATTTTAGACTAAAATGCGATTATAATTTTTGCGATATAGAGGAAAATCCTGTTTAATTCATATACAAAAATTTCAAAATACGAGTTTAAATTATTGCGATTATAACCCTGTCGCATTTTTCGCTATAATAAAAACATCGCAATAATTTCTGAATTTACAGTATAAACCAAAGTTAGCTATCTATGGAACAACGAATACAAGAGCATGAACAAACGGGTGCTATTCAAGGAATTCAGTGCAAGTATTCCATGTATTCGTCTACTACAACATACGTTCTGTCTATTGAGAATGTTTCGTGTCCCATTCCGTCGATGTAAATTGTTTCGTACAATGTCAGAGGATTTAATCCGACTTCTTAAGCTTCCACCTGAGGCTCTTGTCAAGTGAAGATGTTCAGTGTCCAGTTTCATCCTTTGAGAAGTCTGTGTCACGTTTCGTCAAAGGCAAAGTTCTACCTAGATGCTATCCATGTAGTAACCCAGTCAACACAACGAAGTCATGATTTCATAAAGTAGAATCATACACTTCTGCTTTGTCATGTACTGTTTACAATTCGACCTGATTATAACTTTTAATAAACGTTTTGATTGGTTCATTCAAATTTTTTACCGTACACCATCTGGTTCACGAACTCAGGGCTTATACAAACTAAGTGTAAATAAAACATTTTGAGGACATTCAACAATAAAAAGCCTTGTAATTGCGAGACTTGGTTATAATGAAACCAGTTTGTTGCGTATCATGCTCGCAAACATTCAAATGCAACGGAACGTGTATAGCTGTTAAATTTTGATAATTGTGAATACTTTAATTTCTGTTAAAGTTAACGGTACATAATTCAAAGACAAAGAGACCTAACTTGATCCAGTATCTTGAAAAAAATAGAATGAAACTTTCCCCTCAAGCAATCGTTTATAGGCAAATTAAGAACCCATCCATATTGAAACATTATGTCCTTCTAATTAGCCTGAAACCGGAACTTTGAACATTATCTCTGGGAATCATAGGGAAAAACCATCCTTCATGTGTCAATATAACACCAGTTACTGACTCAATTGACTTTTGTTTTTTATATATTATCTAAAAACGCGTAAACACATTGTCACATTTGTTTCTTTTTGTTTGTTTTTCACGTTTTGCCTTTTCGTGACTTTGTTCTGTTTCGTCTATAGGCTTTAGCGGCTTATCCAAAAACACGGGATTCAGCATGGAAATCATACCATTTGTTAGTTATACAACTGGGTTATTTCCGCTGCTAGTGAACTATTTTCCCTCGAGGTTTTACCCACCCAATAGCTAGTTATATAGTGATTTGGAACAGGCATGATTTTTATGACTAATTTGGTCTGTAAATGTCCAAGTAAAATTTACGTATTTCTTTTTAAGAACAAAGGTCGCAACTGCATTAGGTAAAGTTGATCTTAAGTAGTTTAGAGTTTTATGTTTAGCCTTCACCTTTATTTTGATGTCTTGTCTTTATATTGTTTTTCTTTTTACTAGGGGGAGTGGTTAGTGCTTTTAAACATTTTAATGGTTTCTTCTTTAGTATACTTAATAAAGGAAACAAAACATTTGCTGTTCGCATGGATCTTGCAAAGTTACCCAAAAAAAAGCTTGAAAATGACTGCGGTAGTTGCTCTATCCAATTTCAGATATATTTCTTTCGTTGATAATTGTGATATCGACGACATTTCTTATGTTCAATGAAGCTGTTAAACGAATTGAAACGACTAAATTCCGCAGAACTATTAAATTATTTGAGTTTACAGAACATGCAATGTAATTTCCATTGTATTGTGACACATACATATACACTTCTATAAAAATAAGAAGATGCGGTATGATTGGCAAAGGGACAGTTAACCACCAGAAACCAAATGACGTAGGTCTTAATAATTTATGTTCTTTTCGAAGTTGCCAATGTCGGCTTTGTGATTGGTATGGCTTTTTTGGTTCACTGTTTTTTTTTTTGTTTTTTTTTTGGCAAGGTGTTAGATTTTCCTTTCTATGCACATTTGTACTTGATAATTAATTTACATGAAATGTTTAAAAAATAATTGAGCTGAGCTTTAAATTGAAAGACTAGAGTATCTAAAAGAATAAATATATTAATTTAGCTTCTCTTAAAATGAAAAAGACATTGGTTTTTTGTAGCCACCGCCTGCATATTAGCTGTTCGTAGAAACGTGACCGGATGTAATTGCAACACTCCGTGCAGGTAAGTAAGAGATTTTCTACCAAATGTTACCATCAATGTCAATCAATCAAAGGATATTATTATTTTACCTTTAAATATGCATGTTTAATTGAAAGCTGTTCTTTTAATCCTACTTGTTTAATCCGATTTTTTTAATTACTAATGTATCTTGTTGGATAAATATTTTCTTTTATATATTTACTTTTCTCTATTTCTTAGCACATGTATACTTTTCCCGACCTGTTCATGTATTTTATTATTTACATGTGGTTTGTATGATTTCAGTTGATTATGATGTCACATTTTCTTGCTTTCCTCTGATTTTGTGATTTCGACGTCAAGAAAAAAGGCGACGAAGCCATCTTATCGCAGATCATTGAAAAAACGATAAAGTTTGCCCTACGTATCGTCAAAAAATGATTTGAGAAATAAATTCTACCACCGAATTTTGTGTTATTCGATATTCCTCCACTATCGACTGTTAAATTATAAATATGTAAATTTGAAAATTTTATTATCTCCAATGGAAAAATATAGTATATCACTCGATGAGTTGGTATAATCTACATTGATGTGCAGGACAATAGGGAGTGACAAACACACGACGTCCTTTCTAAGTGTTTTTCGTGTTGCGGATATTCCTACTTATCTTTTGTTGTTACAAATTAATCCTATTTTTTATATTGTAGTGAAAAACAGCACATCAAAACAATTCATACAAGTAGGTGGCCAGCTAAAAACTATGAAGGTTTACTTGACAAAATATTGAAAAGCAAAGGACTCTCACTTTCAAATACAAGGTAACGTTTATTTTAATATATCACCAAAAAAGTTTTTTTTTTTTACTGAAATGAAACTTGTTATCAGCAAAAATCTCTCAAGGCAATACTAATAGGACACGCAAGGTTTTGAATATCGTATCAAATAGAACACTTACTTCCTATGAAGGATGGAATACATAATAACATATATTACTAGAAGCAATGTTTAAACATCATTTTGCCAAATGTGGAGTAGGGTTTGCTTACCCTTCCGGAGTATCTAAGATCACCCATGATTTTTTTGGTGGGGTTCGTATTGCTCAGTCGATAGTTTTTTTTATGTGGTGTTTTGTCTATTCATCATTTTTCTTTTGTTTTTGCCATGGCATTGTCGGTTACCTTTCTTTCGTCTTGTGAATGTTTAATGTCGCTTCTGTTTTTATACTTTTTTCCGTTAACTCCGGTTTATTTATACTCATTATATATACTCACTTTTTATTTTTTTTATTATACAACAAATACTATGTAACTGAATATTGTGACCTGCATCTAGAATTAGCAAATGCATTGCAGTATTTGAACGGCGGCTTTGTGAAAAATTGTGCACATCCTGCTACAAGCATGAAATTTGGTATAGACCTTCCTCAACTATTACTCTTTTATATCAGATAGGGAGGCATTTGAAAAAAAATTCTCACTTCCGGCAAAATACAAAATGACGGACATCATACTTAAATCAGCCCAATATCGATGGCTAGTATGTGAAAAGGTGTTATTATCAAGCTACTGTCATAATATTTGGTACAAACCTTTGTTGTATACTACCTTTGGATATATTATATAGATTAGATGTCGTCAAAAACCCTTTTTCCGGTAAAATAGAACATGGCGGACATTGTACTAAAATAAGCTTAATTTTAGGGAGGGTAATTGAAATGTGTTTTAAAGTATTGCTTCTAGCATTATATTGTGCAGGAACCTTTCTTTGGTGCTTCTCATGGATACAATTTATAGGACATATGTCTTTAAAACCCCTACTTCCGGTGATATCCAATATGGCGGACATAGAAATATCAAATTTTTATTTTAATATTAAATGTTTTTCAAAATGTAAAGAAAATGTTTTTTTTTGTGCTGGTCATTTAATTTTTGGCTTTAAGTCATCCTCAAAACCACTAATTCTATTCAACTGTAAATGTTTTAATACAAAGTTAACACTTCAGGTAAAAAAACCAATAGGGCGTAAATTTCAAAGATGAGTCTTCAATCCATATCTTCGGTGTAGAGTTTTGGATAGATTGATTAAAACAAAATAAAATCACTTAAGTACCAAAACATCTTTTGAATTACTAATCTATGGCCGCAAATACATGTTTATTCACAATCGGAGAGCTGATTTTCCACATTTACAAAGACCGTGATATTGTTTTTTTACATCCAATGTTCAAGATCCTGATAAGATGAAGAGGCCTCACAAAGAGTTGTCCAAAAGGGTTCCCATGGATTATATTTTTCCCTTCGCCATTCATAAACGTCTGGACTAGTTAGCATTGAAACCAATTCAAAGCTTTTTACTCATTCAAACCCGCCATGGTATATTGCACGTTTTACATGCTGAAAAAGACTAGACCGAGTCGTGGGAATAGCCTCAATAAGTCTTTCCTCTTCCAAAAACACATGTTTTCTTGCTTCGTTAACCCCATCTGATAAATTTGTTCGATATTACAACAAAACCACGTATCGTTTTATCAATGACATTATCAAATCCATATCTGGTGATGTTGGCTGATCAATCATCATTCTAAATGATAAAGTCACATCTTCAAATGCCATCCATGTCACCCACGCAGTTCCTTTTCCAGCAAACGTGTAATCTCTTAATGCCTAGTGCATTTGAAAGGTCATGGATATATATATATATATCTAAAGCTTGTCACTTCCATATGCAAACCAAAGTTCGTCTGCTCCTATGTCACGGAATAGCGAAACAGCAATGACAACAACATCAGTATCGACTGTTCGAGTCATGACTCAGTTAAGTCTGTGTTTCACTGCATCAGACACATGCATCTTGATTTTAGTGTCAGTCTTTTCATGTGAACATGGTGCTAAACTTGAAACATAATCATGTGGTGGATAACATAGAACATCCTCAGCATTTGTTGCTACAACTACCTTTTTCTCAAAATCTATTGAGCAATCTGCTGTGAATGAAAATTAAAAAGTTCTTTCTTATTGTCGTCATCTCTCAGAAAACTTTGTCAATTTTGAGGAATTTGTTTTGACCCTGGAGTCGCCTGTGTGTTCCCTTTCCCCTAAATGTAGCTCTTTCTTCTTGTAGCAGCCTGTAAACTACCGGTACTGTCTATGTACGCATCCGAGACTACATCCACTGTTGTTACAGTTTCAAGGTGTTTCATAACGAGTATGCTGATAGGGTATTATGTCCTTACCTCAAAAAATACCTTAAAACTGTTACAGGAGTGGTTGAAGTCTTGGATGCGTATGGTAGTTGTAGCAACAAATGCTCAAGATATTCTATCTTATCCACCACGTGAAGTATTTCGAGTTTAGGACCATGTTCGCATTAAGAGGCTGACACTAGAATCGTGGTGCATGTGTTTGATGCAATGAAACACGAATTAAAACGAGTCATGATTCGAACAGTTGTTATTGATAATGCTGTCATTACTATTTTGCTATTCCGTGACATAGGGGTATACGAACTATGGATTGGGTTTGGGAGGGCAAAAAGCTTTGGATAAATATCTATTAATGACCTTTCAAATGCACTAGGCAATGAGTGATCACACAGACTTATTGTGATCCATGCCTTAACCGGTTGTGATACGGTTCTATGTTCGCTTGAAAAGGAAAAAAGACTGGGTGGGAGACATTGATGGCATTTGAAGATGTGACTTTAAAATAAGGAATGATAACTGATCAGCCTAAATCACCGGGGTTTAACTGTAAGATCGCACAAACTTATCAGATGGGGTTAACATGGTTAACGAAGCAAGAAAATAACTTTTTGCGCAAAAGGGAAAGCTAATTGAGGCTATTCCCTCAATTTGGTCTAGTCTTTTCCAGCATATTAAACGTGCAATATACTAAGGCAGGTGTTTAGGGGGACGTGCTTGGAATTGGCTCTTATGCTACCCAGTCCAGGCGCTAATGGATGGCGAAGGGACAAAGAGGATCACTTTAAAAAAAACTGTTTCTGAGGCCTCATCATTTTGTCAGAAGCTTGTACATTGTGGATGTAAGAAAGGATGCCGTGGTCGTTGTTAATGTGGAAAATCGGGTCTCCCGTGCACTGCTTTGTGTGCATGTAGTAGTGACTGTGAATAAATATGTATTTTTGGCCACATAGTAGTAATTTTAAAAATGTTTTAGTACTTTTATTAGTGATTTTATTTTGTTTTAATCAATCTATCCAAAACTCTACATAGAAGATATGGATTGAGGACTCATCTTTGATATTTTTTTACCGGAAGTGTTAACTTTGTATTCAAACATTTACAACAGAATAGAATAAGTGGTTTTGATAATAACTTAAAGCCAAAAGTTTAAGGACCAGCACAAAAAAAACCATTTTCTTTACATTTTGAAAAAAGTTGAATATTAAAGTAAAAATTTGATATTTCTATGTCCGCCATTTTGGATATTACCGCAAGTAAGTGTTTTAAAGACATATGTCTTATACATTGCATCCATGAGAAGCACAAAAGAAAGGTTCCTGCACAATGTAATGATAGTAGCAATACGTTAAAACACATTTCAATTACCTCCCTAAAAAATAAGCTTATTCTAGTAGAATGTCCGCCATGTTGGATTTTACAAAAAGTAGGGTTTTTGAAGACATCTAATCTATATAATATATCCAAGAGTAGTACACAACAAAGGTGTGTACAAAATATTATGATAGTAGCATGATAATAACACCTTTTCACATACTAGCCATCGATATTGGGCTGATTTAGGTATGATGTCCGCCATTCTGAATTTTACCGGAAGTGAGACATTTTTTTCAAATACCTTCCTATCTGAAATAAAAGAGTAATAGTTGAGGAAGGTCTATGCCAAATTTCATGCATGTAGCAGGATGTGCACAATTCATGTGAAATATGCTTGTAGCCGCTGCACTATATATGTTATGATGCTTTGAAAGGAATAATAATCTCGATTCAATTTTTAATGCATTTTATTTAAAAGCTTACTTTTCTTGCAACTATTTAGCTTACCTTTCCGAAGGAAATGTGAGCTTTTGTCATCACTGGGCGTCCGTCGTCGTCCGTCTGGTGTAAACTATTTCAAACATCTTCTCCTCTGAAACTACAGATGGGTGCAGTCCTAACCTGTACAGCAAGTTAACTTGATAACCAGTCATTTGGACTGGTCAAAGTTAACCTGTGACAGGATTTAGGACTGCTCTGACCAGTCCTAGGACCACAATCTAGTTAACTTGAAAAGCGGACTTGGTCCTAGGACTGTTTTTATGTCTGCCGCTATTGATATAAGTTAACTTCAAAACCAGTTCTGCCATAAGTTAACACAAGTTAACTTTGATTTTGACAACTCCGATCGAACCAGACCTGATCTCAAGTTAACTTTTGGTCTGGTCTGCTCAACACTAAGTTAACATGTAACCAGGGCCGCTCTACATCAACAATAATATTTTTAATATTTTTTAATGTCTTTGTTTCTTGGTATTAACATAGAAAAATAAAGTCAATTTAATACTTCTGTGATATAAACAAGATTAAATACATATAGCTCCGTGTTGAAGGCCGTATTTTGACCTATAATGGTTAACTTTTATAAATTTTGACTTGGATGGGGAGTTGTCTCATTGGCACTCATTCTTATATCTATTTGTAAATAAAGTACGCATAAAACTTTGCTTATTTATATACAAATTTATTCGTGATCTGCCTTTCTATATATTAAAAAAACGATAATGGTTACAATGCTAACGAGCTTAATATATATTCCAATACATATAAAATTCTTTAAATCGTATTAACCATATTTGAAGT